AAGTTGACAATGAGTTTTAAGCAGCGGCCGATTGAATGCGCTCCCCGATCATGTTTGTCTTGCAGGCTGTCTGGTCCCCGAGGACAGACGGCACCTCCTCCGACACGGAGGCCTACTCCATTCTGCCTCTGCAGCTCAACCCCGGCCGGTGTGTGCAACACACACTCCCAGCTGCTCTGCAGGCTGGGAATTCCATGCCCATTGGCTGTATATGTGACAATGGCAAATCCACAGTCTGCCACTGGCAAAATACTGGGGTGGGAGTGGGGGCTGAGGCAGGAGAGGGAGGCTGAGCTTTCAAAATGCAAATCTCTCAAGGACAGAGAGAAGTGATGCAACCTTAGCTGGCTCTGGGCAGTGGGCAATCCTGTGTGCAGTAAACCAGACTACGATCCCTGGCTACACCTCATTGGAATGAATGGATCGGCTGGTATAAAATAACTTACTTATAAAAATGAGAAAGTCGAAACCTTATCGTACAGGCTGGAAACACGGCAGCCACAGGGCTTTGTATTAGCCGGGAGTCGGCGGTGGTTCGCACTCACAAGAGGGGGTCCCAGGTCAAGCTTGAGGTCAGCGGTGGCTCTGCACTCACAAGACAGGTCCAGACCAAGCCTGGAGTCGGCAGTGTCCGCACTCACTCACAAGATGGAGTCCCGGGTTTGAAGCTTGGTCGGCGGTGGCTCCAGCGGGGAGCGGCCACTGACCCTGACCAACCTCCTGAGCGGGGAGCGGCCACTGACCCTGACCAACCTCCCCCAGCAGGGAGGTATCCGCAGACCTTCTGATTTCCCCAAAAGAAGCCAGAGCTCCATTTTCTAAAACATGAGAATTCTCCACATTTAAACAAGTTGACAATGAGTTTTAAGCAGCGGCCAGATTGAATCGCCGCTTCCCCAGTCTGTGACCCCACAACACAGGCAATGTCTGGTCCCCGAGGACAGACGGCACCTCCTCCCGACACGGAGGCCTTCCTACTCCATTCTGCCTCCTGCAAGCTCCAGCCCCCGGCCCGGTGTGTGCAACACACACTCCCAGCTGCTCTGCAGGCTGTGGGGAATTCACGTACCGTGGCTGGTATGTGCGACAGAAATGGCAAATCCACTGTCTGCTAGCAAAATACTGGGGTGGGGAGTGGGCTGGGGGTGAGGAGAGGGAGGCTGAGCTTTCAAAATGCAAATCTCTCAGGGACAGAGAGAAGGAAGGCGGTACAGCAGCAGCTGGCTCTGGGCAGTGAGCAATCCTGTCTGAAAATAAAACATTCTACGATCCACAACTGTACCTCATTAGGAATGAATGGATCGGCTGGTATAAATAGCACGCCGCGTGAAGAAGTCAGGAAACAGCATATGCGTCTGATGGAAACACGGCAGCCACAGGGCTGCTTATTAGCCGGGGTCGGCGGTGGCTCTGCACTCACAAGACGGGTCCCGGGTTCGAAGGCTGGGTCGGCGGTGGCTCCGCACTCACGAGACGGGTCCCGGGTCCAAAGCTCTCATGGGCCACGTGGCTTCCCTGATCTTGGAGCACAGAAGGCCTCACCCTGCGCCAGCCCTGCTCCCAACCTGGGCATAACTCGACACACAGTGCCGGCCCACGGTGAGCTTCTCATAGCTTCGGACCCGCAGGACCCCCACTCTAATGTCCCGCCTCCAGGCTTGAATGCTCCCACTGACAGGGAGCTCACTCCTCCGTCAGATGCGAAACCCCCACTTCTGTGGTTGGACGGCTGTTGATCGAGGAAACCTAAATGTCCCTGCCCTGCCTCAGCTCTGCTCTGGGAAAAGTGGCCTTAGCCGGCCACGCCGTCCGTTATGTCTGACTGTCGAACACTGAAGAGAAATAACTGGGCCAATCGCTTCTTCTCCCAAGTATGGGCGTGGGGTCCCAAGAGCAGGGTGGGGCGGAGCAGGTGTTGGCTTGGAGGGTGGGCAGGCTGCAGACTGGGTGTCGGGAGCATGGAGCTGGCACAAGTAGAAGCAGCTCAGCCCCCCGTCTGTCTCCTTGCAGCCTCGCCAGCCTCCGTCTCCCGCCCTCCGTCTCCCGCCCCACTTCTGGGAGAACCTTCCTCAGGTCTCTGATCCTCACAACCAAAAACCCCCAACAGTCAGAACAGAAAAAGCCAGTGACGGTGGGGAGCCGAGCGAGAGCTTCACTCCACACGGTTTCTCCCACGGGCGGGGCACGCACGGGATTCGGAAGCCGGGATCCCAGGTCCTCTCGGCACAGCCTGGCCGCCCACAGGACCCTGGCCAGGCTTCCCCTCCTCATCCGTCATGAACAGTCGATTCCACCGTCTGTAGCTGCCCTGGAGGCTGCTCTGAGCATCGGCTGGGCTAACGGCCGTGAGTCACAGAGCGCTGGGGCTAGCACAGCTCGGAGGGACTCAGCTTTTCCAGGAAGACAGGTAGAGGGCGTGGGCTGGGGGCGGCAGCTTAGTGGGGGGCTCACCGGGGAAGGGCGGCCCCGGTAAACATCTGTGGCCTGAGCTGAACCAGACTGTCCAACCCACACAGAACCCTCAGGTTTACGTTCACCCCACCACGAAAAGGACCACAGTTCAGGATTTTTAAAACCTGTCTGACATTAAGAGAGTCACTGAAGTGATCGTGAAACTCCTGTTTTCCTTGAAATTCCTCATCTGGGACAAATCCAAAGCCTGCAAGAGCTGTTCTGGAAGAGACCGTGAAGGGAACCGTGTGCCACCCTGTTCAAAGCCCCGCAGGAGGCCTGCGCTGCCCTCTGGGGAAGGATGGAGGGTGGGAGGAGGCAGGATTCCTGCACAGAGGCCTGAGGAGGGACAATGACCCAGGCCTCAGCAGAGAAAGGAAAAGGAATTTGCCTCACAGCCGGAGGTGCCTGTACCCCAGCCTGGGAGCTTTTTGGTTCCTCTCTACGGGCGTGGACGTGAGGAGGAAATGGGTATTTACATATTGTTAGCAGAGGCCTCCCCAAATCTGGGCAGGACACGGCCCAGTGACAAGGCTTTCGAAGATACCCCAGGATCCTGGGCCGAGGTCCACATGGTAAAACCTCATGAATCCAGAGGTCCTGGCTCCCACCTGAGAGAAGGACACGTGTCCCAGAAAAACCTCTGAACACGGGCTTCAGGCCCTGGTGTCAGGCACTCAGTCGCAGTTGAGAAAGGCAGACAGAAATGACAGAGCAGGCCAGGTGCGGTGGCTCACACCTGTAGCACCAGAATTTTGGGAGGCTGAGCCAGGCGGATCCCTTGAGCTCAAGAGTTCGAGACCAGCCTGGGCAACGTGGAAGCACCTCGTCTCTGCAAATACAAAATCATTAGCAGGTGCGGTAGCACATGGCCAGCTACTGGGGAGGCGGAGGTGGGAGGACTGCTCGAGCCCGGGAAGCCGAGTGTGCAGTTCGCTGAGACTGAGCCGCTGCACTCCAGCCGGGGTGACGGAGTGAAACCCTGTCTTGAAGGGAGGGAGGGAGGGCGGAAGAAAAGGAAAGAAGGAACTAACTCCCTCTGGGGCAGACCCAGGCCGCGGTGCCGCTGGGTCACAGCTCTGGAGGCTGCTAACTGTCCTCGGCACTGGAGGCGAAGAACGTTCCATCTGAGAATCCAACGTAACGACTCCAGGCAGCCTTGCTGCTCCAGCCACGCCTCTATCGTTCCCTTCTTTACAGTGACGGCTGGAACTGCGGCACCCGTCTTGTGACCATGAGGGAAACGGAAGAATTGCAAAGACGTCTGTCCTGGCGTCGCTGAGCTGCCGAACCGAAGCCGTCACTCCTGCCTCTGAGCTCCGTATTTTATCAGGAAAAGATGTACTCTCGCTACTCAGATATGCCAGGTTGGTGTGGCTACTCTCAAGTCCCAGCCCCAGCAGCTCTCTCTCTGTGCACAGGGTAGGAATCCAGCTCGAAGGAAAGAAGCCTGCAGAGGGGCTGAGCCCAGCTCTAACGGTGTCACAACCCCAGGACCTGCAGCACCGGTGCCACCGTTTACACCTCATGTACCACAGGGGACCGAAGAGACCAGGCCGCACGCAAAAGCTGACTTCACTGCTGTCATATACACACAACGATGTGCCAGGAAGGGCAGGGCAGAGCACACACTGTTGGGAGGGATCAGGTGGAGGGGGAGAGACACTGCTCAGAGGCGGCTCCTGGGGCCGGGTACCAAGAGGGACTCAGGCCATGCTGTTCCCCGACTCCTCCTGGGGAAAGAAGGGATGCCCTGCTGAGACCCACCAGGGGGGTGCACGAAAATCCTCGGCCAGAATCAATACCCAGCGTCCAGGGGAGGGAGAGAGCAGCTCGGCCACACACCTGCTGAGAAATCCCTCCTCTCCTCTGAGCCACAGGCACACCCGTCTATAAAACACAGTCGTTAAATAACCGCCCTGTCCGCCTTCCGAGCCTGTTGTGAGACCAGGAACTTTGAAAATAAAACCACAAACATCAAAGCATCATGAAAACTGCGGAGAGCGGTCCACAACCAGGTGCCACCATCATTGCCAAGTGGGGAGGCCACCTGGGACACACGCACCTTAGTGCAGCCACCAGAACGCCCGCCCAGGGGCACTGGGCACAAAGTCACCTTACTTATTAGGGCCAGGAAGCCAGGAGTCCTCCCTTACTGAGACACAAGTGCCAGGAAGAGAGGGTGAGGGCCTGCCTGGGAAGGATGCAGGTTTCATACTTTGCAAAAAACCTCAATTGACATCCCATTTCTGTGAAGATGCAGAGGGCCGCTCACGGCACCCTCGCCCCCAGATCAGAACTTGTATGTGAAGGTGCCCCCCGTGGGCCCTCCGGCCGCTCTCCTGCACAGAGCGAACATCACCGGCTGGAGGTCCCCGCTGCTCACTCAGGAGAAGGTGTGCAGCCGAGGGCACGACGGGGGACGCATCACCAGAATGAGCCACGTGGATGGAGGGTACGGGGGACCGGCCTTGTGCCCGCGATCTGCCGGGCTGCCTGACGACGCAGACGTTACAGGCTGTCCTGGGAGACAGGCAGAGGGGACTTACCTCTTCCTCGGGCCCACGTGTAGATGCGGCCGGTCTCGGAGCTTCTGGGCTCTCGCTCTGCCGGTTCCACTGGCAAAGGTCGGACGTGGGGGTCATCAGCTCGGCCAGGGGTCTTCAGGGGCAAGATATACTTGGGGAGCCCTTTGTAGAACCAGGCCCCCGACCTCTTCCAGACCTGAGTGGGGGAGAGAGCTGCTTGGGGCACAGGACGCAGAGGAGTCTCCCCTCCTGCTCCTCGCCCAGATGACGGGAGGCAGGACGCGGAGAGCGAGGAGCAGAGTTGGAGTGGGAACGCTGGCTCTGCCCTCCCCGGCTGATGGGCTGGGCTGTCACTCACCTTCCCAGGACTCAGGACAACTAGGAGCTAAGTCCCATGAACCCTCCAAACCTCCTTTCTCTACCTCTTTCTCTCCTTTATTTTAGAGTTGAGGACTTGCTCTGTTGCCCAGGCTGGAGTGCAGTGATGCAGCCTCCACCTCCTGGGCTCACGCAGTCCTCCTGCCTCAGCCTCCTCAGCAGCCGGGACCGCTGCACCTGGGTCTACGCCTGCTTTAAAGACAAGTCCACGTCCTCCTGTTTCTCTCTTGCAGAGCAGGGACCTCCGTACGGGCCCGGCATGTGAGAAGTGTTTGTGAAAACTGACCACTATTGCTGTCTGTATCCTCCACAACGCGGGATCCTAGAGATTGCCTAGTCAGACCCCTGCCCATCCCCAGGCCTGTCCGGCTCCTGCTGGAAAACTCCTAGTGACAGGAAGCCCACAAGCCACCAGGCACTGCTGAGTTTCCACTAGATCTGCCAGTGACTGGCACTTCCTTCCCGCCAGCCGACCTCCTGGGCACCTTCTCTTGCTGGCCCGAGGCACAGGGCTGCACAGGACGGACCCTCCCAGCCGCGAGGTCCTGCAGACACCTCCCCATCCCCCAGCTCTCCTCAGTGCCACGCCCAGACCCCCAGCTTCTCAAGGACAACACCCGCGGTTCCTCAGCTGTCCCAAGTCCCCTCTCGTCGAGTCACCCCCTCTCGCCATGTTTGTCACCGTCCCTTGGGAGAGGGGCTCAGAAGTGGCCACAAAGCTCCAGGCTTGTTCGGGCTGCCCCCAGGGCACAGCCACCGACTTTCCACCCTCTTTCCTGCCTCAGTTCTGTCCCCCTTGGGTCCTGAGCCTCCCAGGAGCCCCTCTTGACCCCATGTGGTCCCCCAGGAACTCTGAGAGCCAGATGGATCAGAGGGTGCCCGCCAGGGCCCAAGTAGGTGCAGAGCATCCCTTTATCACTGCCCTGGGGAAGTGGTGAGGAGTCACCCTAAACCTGGCCAGACATCCCCAAAGGCGGGCAGAGCCCCAGGAATCCAAGGTTGCCCACCCTGAACTCAAAAGAGTGGGAGGTGCTCTGGTCTGGGACGCACAAGCCCTTGGGCTCTGAGGGGTCCTTCTGTTCCTCCACCACCCCCGGCTCAGACACCCAGGCTCCCCACTCCTGCTGTCCCTGGAAGCAAGGCTGGATCAATGGCAGCTTCCACACTCGCTGTGTGGCTTTGAGAGAGTTACTTTACCTCTCTGAGCCTAAGTTTCCTTATTGATTAAATTGATTAAATGTGATAGCTTCTGAGAAAGTTGGAAGTGCTCAGCAGAGCACACGGCACCCAGAAGGTGTTCACAAGATGCCACCTGCCCGCCTCCTTCCCGTCCCTTCTGCTCAGGGCTCCAGGGGGGACCAACAGAGGCTGGAGGGAGAGCCGGGCTGGGCCACATCACAGCCCTTGGAAGCTCTTCTCTGAGGCTTCTCAGATGGGACAGCCTCTCCAACAGGAGCAGAAAGGACTGCGTCTTAGAGAGAACCACCGACTGGAATTCAGAGCAGCCACTGAGTTCAGGTCCCTAAATTTTTAATGCCTCCTTCAGAAAGCACCACATGCTGTGTAGTCTCTTTTCTGATGAAGGAAATAAATTCAGGGTATTTAGTCAGGAGGCGTGGGAGGCGTGGGAGCCTGTAAACGAACACTTTGCAAAAACCTCAACTGACATGACCCTTCTCAGAGAAGGGCAGGCCAAGGTTCCGAGCTGACGTCCTGAATTTGAATCCCGGGTCCGGCACCCAGCACCGGTGTGATGTGGAAACACTGACCTCTCCAGCCCTCGGTTTCTTCATCGTTAGGCAAACACAGGAGCAAGACTCATCTCACGGGGAGGACTTGAGGATCAGGCCCAAGAATAACCGTGAAGCCTCAAGGGTCAGTGCCAGGCACAGAGCAGCCTCTCCACAGAGGAGAAGCCCATGGGCACCACCGCCGCCGCCCCCTCCTCCCACCTGGCAAACACAAACAGCGTTATCACCCAGAATTGGTGGGCCAATTCCCCAGTAGAAGAATTTAAAACCAGAAGACCAGAGTCCACCTGATTCTGAGACATTGCTTCCCACCCCCCAAACCTCCTCTGCACGTTAATACTGTGGGATATTAACAAGAGCCAGGCCAAAAAACAACAAAAAAGTTTTCTAATCACATACACTTGAAAAGTACTAGGTTAAACCAAGCTCCATTGCTGCAGGACTTCTCAGAGCCTTTACTAGGCTCCATCACTGCAGGAACTCTCAGAGCCTTTACTAGGCTCCACCGCTGCGGGACTTCTCAGAGCCTTTGCTAGGCTCCACCGCTCGGGACTTCTCAGAAACCTTTAGGCTCACCGCTGCGGGACTTCTCCAGAGCCTTTGCACAAGAATCCGCTGCGAGGACTTCTCCCAGAAACGCTGGGCTCACCGCTCTTGAGGACTTCTCCAGAGCCTTTACTAGGCTCCTGTATCGCTGCTGAGAACTCTCCAGAGCCTTTACTAGGCTCCGTAACACCAGGAACTCTCAGAGCCTTTACTAGGCTCCACACTGCGGGACTTCTCAGAGCCTTTACTAGGATCCATGCTGCAGGGAACTCTCAGAGCCTTTACTAGGCTCAGGTGCTGAGGTCATCCCAGGGGCAAAAGAACACACGGTGCTCTCTACCCAAAATCTGCCCGGATGGTTCTAGAGAAACTGAGCCGTAGCAATGGAGTGTAAGACTCCGCACCTAACTGAGCAGCACTGTGGAAGTCCACTCACTTAGAGTGATGTGCATCTGCACTGCCAAGTAGGCTGTGGGCACCTCCTTCTGCTCAGAGTACAGGCACGGACATGATACTAGGCTCCACCGCTGCGGGACTTCTCAGAGCCTTTACTAGGCTCTATCGCTGCAGGAACTCTCAGAGCCTTTACTAGGCTCCATCGCTGCAGGAACTCTCAGAGCCTTTACTAGGCTCCACACTGCGGGACTTCTCAGAGCCTTTACTAGGATCCATGCTGCGGGAACTCTCAGAGCCTTTACTAGGCTCAGGTGCACAGGGTCATCCCAGGGGCAAAAGAACACACCGTGCTCTCTACCCAAAATCTGCCCGGATGGTTCCTAGAGAAACTCGACCGTAGCAATGGGTCTGCATAGACTCCGCACCTAACTGAGCAGCACTGACCGTCCACTCATAGAGTGATGTGCATCTGCACTGCCAAGTAGGCTGTGGGCACCTCCTTCTGCTCAGAGTACCAGGCACGGACCGCCAAGTCCAGACGAGGTCCCTGGCGTGAATCCCTCACTGGCCTTCCCAGCCGCCCTGTGCGAAGGGCCTGCTTTTGTGTGATTGTTGAACGGCCTGGGCCTGTCTGGTGGGTGGATGCTTCGTGGCACCCACTTTGGAAAACCCTTTCTGATCCTCTGGAATCCTTCCTACAACACATATTTATCTGAATGGGTAATGAAGGTACGTGGTCTATAAATCCACGAAGTGCGAAAGTAGCCAGTCTCCTCCCCCCTTCCCAGAAGCATGTGCTGATTACAGGGTTCAAAGAAGCTTGGTTATTATCTCCACCTTTCAGGTAGGGAAACTGAGGCTCCAACAAGTTCAGCAATTTCCCCAAGGCCAGCACACCGTTCCTGGGCCTCTACTTCACACAGAAGGCCCCAGAGTCTCACCCAACAGTTTACAGATGCAAAGCAGCTGCTCACTAAACTACAGATGAGTGGTGAATAAATCCTCAGGGGGTCAGACGTCAGTGTGGACTCTTAGTGTCCTACAGGCAGGACCCCAGAGCGGACGGGACCGCCCGACGGAAGGAAGAAGCAAACACACAGCAGCCACCAAGGCCACCCCGTCTCTGGAGAGCTCCTGTGAGGCTCATTACAGCAGGTGACCAAGTCCGAGAGGCTGCGGGGACCACAGGAGCCGGCAAAGGGCTCGCTGAGCCTCCCACTGATGAGCAAAGGCTCTGCCCATCCTGCCCTGAGCGCGCTGCCTCCCTGTCCTCCGCCGTGGGCTGGGCCGGGGGACACCAATGAAGCAAGCCCTTAAGAGCCATCTGTGGACGGCGAGGCCTGTGCAGGCTTTGAACCACACACCGCACTGTCTCCCCCACCCGCCACGGAAGCTTTCTCTTTCTTATTTTTATTTTGAGACCGGGTCTTGCTCTGTCACCCAGGCTGGAGTGCAGTGGTGCGATCGGCTCGCTGCAGCCTTCCCCGCCCCAGGCTCAGGGGATCCTCCCACCTCACCCTCCTGAGGAGCTGGGACTGTAGGTGGTGCGCACCAACACACCCAGCTAACTTTGTATTTTTTGTAGAGATGGGGTTTTACCATGTTGCTCAGGCTGGTCTCAAACTCCTGGGCTCAAGCAATCTGCCCACCTCAGCCTCCCAAAGTGCTGGGATTACAAGCATGAGCCTCTCCCTTTTTTTATCTTCCTGAAAAATACATACCTAGCACACACAATGAACACAATAACAAAAAAGCAAAATGAAACTAGGCCACCTATTACATCGCCGCACACAGACAGCCCTGCGGAGCGTGGCGGTGGGAAGTTCCTCACACCCTGGCTGGGCAAACTGTTTGTTTGTTTGAAAACTGGGCTAATGTAGACGCAACCTGTTCCCGCCCCTCAACACCTGACGACACATCACGCCGTCGCTCCGGATTCATAATTTCTCCATCATCATTTCTCATTGTTCCACAGTTTGGATTCATTAAACTTAATTAATCCAGTGCCCCACCGAGGGACACGCGTTTTCAATCTCATCCCTCACCCGTACCCACCGCGGGCGTCACCCGTACCCACCGCGTCCCTCACCCCGTACCCACCGCGTCCCTCACCCCGTACCCACCG